ATGGTACCAATTTCATTCTCTGATTAAAATCATAGTGGGAGGTAATCATGTTTTAGTGTAATAGTGTCGGATTTTGCTTAAACCGGAATGGGCGTTTTGTGGGATTCATATCCAAGGTTCTTAGAAACTCTTGGAATGTTGTTATGACTAAATTAGGTTGTATAGACCTCATTTGACTTGTTTAGAGTTGGGTTTTTCTTCTTGTTTATGAAATGACCATTTTGCCCTTGATGGGCGGAGTTTTCTTGTTTTGACTTTTACTTCCGCTTTCATTTATCTCTTTAAGTTCTGTGGCTTCATAGAAGCCCATTTTGGGTCTTAGGGGTGGTGTCCATCCCTAGTGACCACTTCTCATTTCATTGCTTCCGCATTTGGGATCCGTTATTGGGTTGACTTTTGGGTCATCATTGACGCACTTGGTTTGTAAAACTTAAGCCGTCACAATCTGGCTATGTTCCTGTTACTTCTCAGCATGCTTCTTTGCCAAAAGAATTATGTTAGATCTATGCTAATCCTTCATATCTTGCTGATACTTGCCCTATGATGGGACAATCATCTGAGATCCTTCAGAAGTAAGTAAATGCTGCATTCTCAGGACCAGTTTATAATCTATATTCTTTTACTTATAATCTTGGTTAGAGAGATCATCTAAAACTATCATGGTGGAATCAGAGCTAAGGTACCACTGTTCCACAATCACAGGGACACTACCAAAATCCATCGAATCCTTTGCCCCAAAATAATTCTTTCAATTAATCTTCCATATATTGTCCACCTTAGTTTAGGAATCAATCTGCTCAAGCTCCTGATCTTCCACCTCCTCCAAAAAGTTCTACTTTTGAGGACTATGTACTTAATGCTCTCACTGATCTTAAAGCAAATACCCAATTTCTTCATTCACATTCATAAGCCAAAGCAAAGCTAGAGGCACAAATTAGGCAAATAGCGAGTACTCTATCTTGAAGAGAGGATGGAAAGCTGCCTAGTTAGCCAGTAGTAAACCCGAAAGGGCAGACTTACATGGTTAACGAAACTAATTCTTCAGGTGTTCATCATGAGCAAGTCCAGGCTATCATTACATTGAAGAGTGGTAAAGTGGTTGATAACTAAGTTGAGAAAGGCCAGGAAGAAAAAGAAAGGCTTTGGATTCCCATTGATCCTATCATCAAAATTCACATCTGAAGGATGTTCCCTCAAATTCTAATCCACGAAATTCCAAAGGAGTTGAAGGTGAAGTCACTTCTTCATCTGCTCTAAACCTTGAGACAGCTAATGAGCCAATAACACCTTATCCTGAATGTCTCAAGGAAACCTCTTACTTTGGCAAGCAAGGGGAGAAAATTCATGATATGATGGAGGTCTTTAAATAGGTCAGAATCAAGCTTCCTCTTCTTGATGCTATAAAGCAAATTCCTGCCTACTCCAAAATTATAAAAGACTTTTGCACTCAAAAGAGAAAATCAAGAAGCCAAGTTTCTAAAAAAATTTGTCTCACCAAGCAGATCAGTGCTATTCTTCAGCACAACACTCCTCCTAAGGTTAAAGATCTTGGCGCTCCTACAATTTCTTGCATCATTAGATATAATGTTATAGAGCGAGCACTTCTTGATCTGGGAGCGAGTATGAATCTCATTCCTTACTCTGTGTATGAGAATTTAGGTTTGGGAGATCTAAAACCTACATTAGTTGTTTTACAGCTTGTTGACTATTTTGTTAGGCAACCATGAGGTATTGTTGAAGATGTACTCATAAAAGTGGACAAGTTCTATTTTTCGGTCAATTTCTCAGTTCTTGGTACAAAACCGGTCGACGATTCCAAAAAGTATATTCCAGTTATTCTTGGGTGTCCTTTTCATTGCCACAATGAAGGCTTGCATTAACTATAGGACTAGAGCCATGGATTTATCTTTTGGAAATATGAAAGTCAAGCTAAATATCTTCAATGCCATTCATCATCCCCAAGATGAAAGTGAATGCTTCTTCCTTGATGTTATTGATGAGTTGGTTGAGGAATCACTCCTAACTATTTTATCAAAGGATCCTTTAAAAGCTTGTCTTAATCACTTCAATTATGAGGACTTTGACACCGACTCCTCTATAGCTGAAGTGAATTCATCGCTCAACTCCACTCCTATCACATATTTTCTTCCATGGAAATCTAGACTTGAGCCTCTTCCTCCATTTTCTAGTATTCCGCCTATTCCTTTGTTAAAGTCTCCACCTAAGCTGGAGCTTAAGCCACTAGCGGATAAGCTTAAGTATGCTTTCTTAGGTTTAAATGATACACTCTCAGTGATCATTGCTTCAAATCTTACAAGTTCTCAAGAAAGCAGTCTCTTAAAAGTTCTTGAGCAAAATAAAAAGGCTATTAGGTGAACTGTGGCTGATTTGAAAGGAATTAGCTCCATAATTTGCATGCATCAGATTTATTTGGAGGAGAATTCCCGAACATCTCAGGAACTCCAAAGAAAATTGAATCCTAATATGAAGGAGGTGGTTATGAAGGAAGTTGTGAAGTTGATAGATGCGAGAATAATCTACCCCATCTCAGATTGCAAGTGGGTGAGTCCTACTCAGAGAGTACCTAAAGAGTCAGGTATTACAGTAGTTGAAGATTCCGAGGGAGAATTAGTTCCATAGCGCACCACCACTAGATGTCATGTGTGTATTGATTATCGAAAACTAAACTCCGCTACTATAAAAGATCATTTTCCATTACCATTCATTGATCAGATCCTAGAGTGGTTAGTTGGCCAGAGTTATTATTGTTTCTTAAACGGATATTCCGGCTATAATTAGGTGGCCATTGATCCTAAAGATTAAGAGAAAACTATTTTCACCTGTCTATTCAGTACATTTGTATATAGACGGATGCCACTCGGTTTATGCAATGCTCCTGCAACATTCCAAAGGTGTATGATGTCTATCTTTTCGGATATGGTTGAAAATTTTCTTGAAGTCTTTATAGATGACTCATTTGTTTTCGGATCCACTTTTAAAAACTGTATCCAACATCTATCCGTAGTGCTTCAGCATTGTAGGGAAACAAATCTTATTCTTAGTTAGGAGAAAAGCCATTTTATGGTTCAAGAGGGTATTGTTTTAGGGCATATCATTTCAGAGGGAGGTATTGAAGTTGATAGAGCCAAAGTAGATTTGATCTCTAAATTGCCTCCTCCTACCTCCAGAAGGGGATTGCAATCATTTCTTGGGTACACCGGGTTCTATCGACGGTTTATCAAGGATTTCAGTAAAATTTCCCGTCCTTTGTGTAATCTACTTGCAAAGGACACTCCTTTTACCTTTGATGAATCATGCCTTGAAGCTTTCCATAAGCATCGCTCTTTTTTTTCTTCTGCTCCTATTATGAATCCTTCAAATTGGGCTCTTTAATTCGAGATCATGTGTGACGCATCTGATTATGCTATGGGTGTTGTCTTAGGACAACACTTAGAGAAACTACCTCATGTTATTTGCTATGTGAGCAAAATTCTTTCAGATGCACAATTGAATTACACCACTACTGAAAAAGAGTTACTTACAGTTGTCTTTGCCTTGGATAAATTCAGATCATATCTATTAGGATCCAAAGTAGTGGTCTATTCTGATTATTTTTCTTTGAGACATCTTCTATCTAAAAAGGAAACCAAACCCAGTCTGATTCGATGGATCCTCTTACTTCAAGAGTTTGATTACGAAATCTGGGATAAGAAAGGGTCTGAAAATGTGGTGGTTGACCATCTTTCTAGAATTCTTATTGAGGACACCTCAACTTCACTTCCAGTTCGTGATTCCTTTCCGGATGAGCAACTATTTCAGGTTTCTCATTGGAATTTTCTATGGTTTGCTGACATTGTGAATTACCTCGTAATTGACAAAATTCCTTTAAATTGGTTAAAGTAGGAAAAAAATCGTTTCTTCTCCCAAATTAGGATGTACTTCTGGGAAGATCCCCAACTTTTTAAATATTGTGCTAACCAAATCATTCGTAGATATGTTCCCAAGAGTGAGTTTTATTGTATTCTGACCTTCTGTCACACTCTTGGTTGCGGAGGTCATTTTAGTTTAAAGAAAACTGCAGCTAAAGTTCTTTAGTGCGGTTTCTTTTGGCCTTTGGTGTGGCTCGGGCCTTGTGCTCAAAATGATGTAAAAAGGGTGAGTGTGTGAAGTGGCCACCACATTTAAAATTTATAAAAATCACTTAACACTATACTATGTAGTATGAGTGAAAAAGGATTGTCCCAAGGGATTTGCAAGGTACTACGGAATAGAATTCGGGTTAATAGGCCGAATGATCAAAGTAAGTGGTTTGTTTGTTGAGTTATACTATGATTTAATTAAAAACAATGCAATGAAAAACAAGCTAAAGTAAGTGAGATGTAGAGAATAGGGGTGCAAACGATTCTGGTCGGAACCGGAACCGGAACCATTCACGACGGTTCCTTGAAAATGGAACCGGAACTGGAATCGTATAGTATGGAACAGAACTGGAACCGAACGGTTCGGTTCTAGTTCGGTTCCATGAGAACCGTTAACTGTTTGGTTTTTTTCCTTTAAGGATTGGGTATAAAGGTTTTAGAATTATGTTCATCCATGGTAAAAGCAAAAGAAAATGACCTCTTTGCAATTACACTACCATAGTTAGCCATTTACAGAATTCAAAACTAAATCGATGTGATTTAGGCTACCTTTGATGAGGAAAATTTTAAACAGACTCCAACACAGTCCAATACTAGTAATCATTTCTGAATTTATTACCCATTATTTCTATAAATCATATTTCTCAGGCCAAAAAAAAAAAAATAAAAAAAAAATAAACAAGTGATAGAATTAAAAAAGAATACTAAACTTCAAGATACACCAAAGTAACATTTTACCAAAAAAGTATTTCATCATCAATATATTCATACCTATGTATCATACGATTCATATATATATACATATACGTAATAAAATAGAAAAAATAAAAAATAAAAAATAAAAAAAGCGAGCAAACAAACCAAACAAATTAAAGTAGTAGTCATTAATCATCAAGCTAACCCATCTGAGATCGGTCTCCAATTGTTCTGATAAGGAGAGAACCACTTTCTTCGTCGCTTTGATCTACAAACAATCTTAGTATTTGATGACCAAACACCTAGCACACATACTACAATAGTACTTTTTCTTGGTCCTAATATACAGAGGCAGGAAACAGAACCTCCATTGACTCTTAACGTCTATGGCATGTATCATCCCTCCACAGTACGGACACGACCCTGGTGCTGGTTGCCTAGATATCATCCTTTCATCCTCATCGCATACGAACACCAAACACATCTTTCACTTTCTCTGTCTAAGTTACTTTTCTTTGAAATACAAACACATCTTTCACTCAGGCGAGGGCGATGAGAGGTTAGACTTTAGAAGAGGCGAGGGTTAGCTTAGGTTTCATCACTTCATCTATTTAGATGAGAGATTGAGAGGAGGTGAGGACTGAGAGAGTGCGAGATTTAGGGCAAAAAACTAAAAAAATAGGTTTTTTATACTTCATTTTTAGTATATATATATATATATATATATATATATATATATATATATATATGGTTTCGGTTCTTACCGGTTCCCACGGGCTGGAACCGGAACTAGAACTGTAAGTCCACGGTTCCTAAAGTTGGAACCAGGACCGGAACCGGAACCGTGAGAACCCGAAAAAACGGTTCCGGTTCTCACGATTCCGGTTCAGGTTCTACGGTTCCGGTTCTTTTGTGCACTCGTAGTAGAGAATGAGAGAAGGGTCTTGGGATATAGAGTTCACCACTAAGCTTTACCTCACTAAACATATAATATTTGTCAAATTAGGGGGATTAAATGTTGTGAAACAAGTGTGTGTGTCATCAATTGAAATACTAAACATGGATGATAAAATAAGCATCGATTGTTTAATCAATCTAATGAGTAGCACAACCTATCAAATTAAGCCATTAACCATTTAATAAAATCCACAATTAATGCACACAAGAATCTAGATAAATATACTACTTGTACTCATAAGCATGGATCATCAAATAACAAGAATGGATTGTGACGAATGCTCAAATGTGACGCATTTTAGCACCTAAGCTAGGGTATTCTAGTCCAATCATCTATTTTATTTTCATATCTTAGATACTTATTTGTGTTATTGCCTATTTTAGGTGAATAATGTTCAAACAGGCTAAAAAGAGCCATTTAGATCATTTTTGGAGCTAAGGAACAAAGTTAGAAAGAAGCCAAGAAAAATGCATCAGGGTAACTTCGATCGAAGGGGAGTCCCGATCGATTGAAGTAATCTTCAATCGATCAAAATCAAGGCGGTGCCAGCTCAGCCATCAGGATAAAGTCTAAAGATATTTTTGTGCCATGTCAGCTTTGATCGATCGAAGCTCAAGTGTTTGATCGATCGAACATTCTCGATCGAACAAAAATGCTGTTGGCAGTGAGCTATCTAATTCCTTAGCGCACCGTTTTCCACCTACCTTGCATAGTTGCGAATTTCCACCAATCACAGGCTATTACTCTGACTTGGTCCTTACTAAAAGGAGTGTGTAATTGATTTAATGAACAATTATTGTAAGAGAGTAGTTTTTGATTACCAAATATAGAATAAAAAATTTTCCTCTTTAAAACTAAGGAAGAAGGTAAGGATGAAGATGATGATGCCAACCTCCAAGATAGCCCTTGAGGGTTCCATGTCCACTACCATGATGGCTAAATCCTTCTCTTGGGGCTAGAGATGGATCCTAGGCTTGCTTCTCAAACTTAGCCTTCATGTATTTTTGGGGATTTTAATTGTAATGAATGTTTTGACAATGAATATATATAGATCTTGTAATCTTTACTTGATTTGTATGATTTAATGCTTTTAATTGATCATTTGGCTCTAGTCATATGTCTATGTATGCTAGAATTGATGTTCATGTGTTTTTCTCTAGATTTAATGGAATTAATGCATGTCTATGTGTGCTGATGATGTTAGTCTAGTGATGGTCAAGGCATAGTGCTTAATTGAACACTCTTGAGATTTATTTGATGGTTCACACTTATTTCTTGATGGATTGTATCACATCTCTAGTTTAATTAGTTTAATTTCATGTCTCTAGTCTAGTGTAGTGTAATTGCTTTAAATTCTTAGGTAGGTGAACAATCCATGCTTGTTTCTTGGTGTTCTATACTTGTGAATGCAAAAAGTGTATTACTCTAGATTTTTGTGTGTGAATTAATTGTGGTTTGATTGAATGGATTTTGGTCTTATTTGATAGGTTGTACTATTTATTTAATTGACTAGACAAACTATACTTATTTGCCTTCCATGCTTAGTTTCAATTAATGTCGCACACACCCAAGTTACAATTTAAATTTCTCCATTAATGTATAATTGCTAGTGTTTGATGAAATGAAGCTTAGTGGTGTCTCTATGCCCCAAGAATTTTTCTTTTATCTTTTCCCTACTTTCTAGATTGATTGTTATTTGCATTAATCTTTAATTACATTGTAGTTTAACTAAACAACCACCAATCATCTTTGATCACTCGACCTACTAATCCGACATTAATTTTCGTCACAAACACACCTCTAATCCCTTTAGACGATCCCTACTCAAGCTAGCTATATTTTTAGTTGGAAGTGGTAGTGGCATTTTACAAATTTAAACTTGGCAACATTTTATTGCGTATACGACGAGGCCACACCAAGTTTTGGTGCCATTGCCGGGGATTGGTACCGTCGTGTTTGGAAATTAATTATGAATTAGTACTCTTTTGATCTTGTTTTTATTTTTATTTTATTTTGGTTACTTATTGTGTTTGTTCTTGATTGGCTAGGTGCATTGAGCCAAGAAGGTGAAGCAAAGGGAATTAAAGAAGCAAAGAAGCCATGTGAAGCTAAGCAAGAGCATAAAAAGCTCAAAAATAAAAATTTGCAAAGCAAACAAGGCAAAGAAAAAAATTGAAAAACAACTTGAAGTTGCTTAAGGAGGCAAGTTTTTCATTTCTTAGATAGATCGTGAGCTTTGTGAGACTTTGTGAGCTTTTCTAAACTCAATCTCTAGTTAAATCGTGAGCCCGCGTGGAGGCAAGTTTTTCATTTCTTAGATAGACGATGAGCCCGCGTGGCGGCAATTTAATTTTCTTTGCATATTGTTGAAAGCATGGGAGTATGGGATCATCGTATGTGGAGGATTGTTGATTATTGATTTTTTTCGGAGGAGAAGTGATTGCTACTTGCTTGTTGCTTGTTCTTGTCTTGTTTGTGCATGCATGGTCGTAGATCATTAAATCCTACTTTTGTCCCATTTAATTTGAATCTTGAATCCATTGTTCATAATTCTAAGGGAATGGGTAATTCTAGTCACTCCATTTCATCAATGGAGGAGCAGAATGAGGACCATGTGGAGGTCCTTGGTCACATAGACCAACAAGGCATTCTCCACCCTAATATGCATCATGACAATATTCAAGTACTATTAGGCATGCCGAGACCTTTCATTCCACCACAACAACAAGGCCAAGTTCCATTGGGAATGCCTCGGCCAATTTTTGCTCCACAACCTCCCATTATTCAAAGGAATCAAGTTGCTTATGTTTCACCCCCAATTGTGAATCCTCCTCTTACTTTGCGTGATCATTATGTGCCAAATGAATATAATGCACCTACATGCATTCAATTGCCCCTTTTAGAGCACATCACTATGAAATTAGACCGCAAACTATTCAAATGCTTCCTAATTGTCATGAACTTCCAAGTGAAGAACCTTACAAGCATTTGGATGAGTTTCTTGAAGTATGCTCTACTGTGAAATACCTGGACATACTGGAAGAGGTTTTGAGATTAAAACTTTTTCCTTTCACCTTTAAGGGCAAGGTAGAATATTGGTTCAACAATCTTAGGCCTTTTTTGATAACTTATTGGGTAGAAATGCAACAAGAGTTCTTGAAAAAGTACTATCTAGTTTCAAAGACCAATGCTATGAGAACTTCCATTAGAGAATTTTCTCAAGGGGATGGGGAATTGTTTCATGAGGTATGGGAAAGATTTAATGACTTGCTTAGGAAGTGTCCACATCATGACATGCCTAAGTGGCAATTTGTTCAATACTTCTTTGAAAGTTTACTGGATAATCACAAGGGTATGGTAGATGCATCTATGGGTGGTTCTTATCTTGAAAAGCATGAAAATGAAGTTTGGCAATTGTATGAAAGTATGAGTGAGAATTCAATGCATAGATCCTTATCTTCCAAGAATGGTAGAAACTTAGGTGGAAGGAAGAATGTTGGTTTGCATCAAGTTGACAATTCCAATGACATAGCCGCCGAAATGAAATCATTGTTTCAAAGGTTTGATCAACTAAAATTTGGTAAATCAAGTGTCTTCCTCCCCTAATCATACTGATCATGTTTCAAATGAATCTTGCATGACTTGTTCTAGTGTTTTACATTCTACTTCCAATTATCTCCATGGACATGTGCAAAATGAGCACCAAGAACAAGTAAATGCCACTTTTGTTCACCAAGGGAATAATCCCTATGGCACACATTACAATCCCGAATGGAGGAACCATCTAAACTTCTTTTGGAAAAGCCAAGGGGAAGGCTCAAACCTTCCCCAAGTTGGTTTTCAAGGAAAGTATGTTCCACCTCCAATGCAAAGCGAAGGTTCCCAAGGTTATAGATCATTTCAATCATCACATGGAAACTAATTCTCAAATTCTTATTTTCCTAATCAATCTTCTTACTCTCAAGGAAATTCTAGGAGTCCCGCTTTTGAGGAAAAAGTGTTGACCGCGTTAGGTACTTTAGAGGCAAATACTCAATTGCTTCATTCCCATTCTCAATCCATTGTGAAGCTAGAAAACCAAGTTGGGCAAATAGCTAGTACCTTGAATGCTAGAGAGAAAGGGAAGATGCCTCTAAATACCCCACCAAAGCAATAATTTATGGTGGAGACCAATTCCTCATCGGAAGGTCACATAATTGAATATGCTAATGCGGTGACAACCTTGAGGAGTGGAAAAATTGTTGATAACCAAGTAGGTGTTTCTAACGAAGAGAGTGAACCAGTGCAACCAAAAGTTGACACCTGTCCCGTTTCACATTCTATTCCTCTTTCATTGCATGTGCATGAACCCTTTGTTGAGAAAGTATTAAAAAATGATTTGAACAATGATTTGAAAAAGGATTTGAAAAATTCTTGTGTTGAAGATGTTTTATGTGACGACCCTGGTTTTTAGGCCAGCGTGTCCTGTGATGAACCGAAGATTTGACCCGATAACGGATCCGATATGCGGAAGCGAAAACAGAAAA